AACCGCACAAAAATTGCATCATGGTCATTTAATAGAGTAATGACTTCGCTTAGATTTTGACATTTCTTTAAAAGTTTTGTGCACTTCAAAAAGAACCCCAGCCATTCACATAAACACTGAAACTACTTGCTTTGCTTGTTCTCTCATGATTCATTACATTTAATTACTGAGATGGTGAGGACCTAGATGTGGCTATGGAAGAGCCGATGTGTGAAGAGTGTCGTGACCTCTCGTGCTTTCATTTAAACTCATCCTACTTGAAGTAGATGAAATGATATGGATCAGAGTTATGTAATCTACCATCTTCATAAGCTTTACATCAAAAAGCAGAATAGAGTTTAATATTGCTACATGGCCTTCAACAATCACATTGAGATGGTAGTGAATATCTTACTCAAGGTTGTGAATTGATTTGCCTGGCACAACATAGTTTTCTACATTTTAGTTTTTTCTATTAAAAAATTAAATCATACAGAGTCATTATAGGATCTGCCAACTAGAAGCACAGTGGAATCTGAGGCAGTCCTTCAAATGCTGATCTATGGACCAAATGCAGTAGAATTACCCAGGGAGCTCTTTTGGTCAATGCAGAGGCTCAGATCCAAACCCCGAGAGGGTAGTGCCCAGCCAGGTGTGGGGATCACCCACTAGGGTTTTCCAGGAGTGTTCCTTGAGACAGAGTCTGATACTGCCCCCAGAACTTGCAAAGAAGTTTGGGAGGCATTGCACACTGTATCTACTGCAGACAGTTTTCATGTTCCTCATCATTTTATAGGTCTTTAGAAGCCCTGCAGTAAAGAGACCAGTTCAGCCCAGCACTTCCCAAACGTAAATGACTGTGACCTTGGAATCTAATTTTTGTAGCACTCAATCAAGATTTCCCAGGATATGTTCTAGGGGAAGGTAATCTATTATAGATTTTCCAACAGGGGCTCCCCTAGGGGAGAGCTCCCTAGGAATGAGTCTCCACAAATGGGGAAAAGTGCAATATGTATGTTTATCAGGGTATGAGTTTGTTAATATTGGGAAGCGTGGGTCCTAAAGAACCCCTGTTTATGTAGTGTCTACTATATGCTAGGCACTGGGGTGGGCTCTTTACCCACATGGATTTATTAAATCCTCACAACAACCCCACGAGGTTGTTATTCAAAGATGAGGGAAATGCAGCCTTGGAAGAGCCCCCTCACAGCTCTAAGAGGGAACTCTGGTTCTTTAATTTCTGCTTGGCTGTGGGAGGAAAGGACAGTGAGACACAGGATCAGTAGAAGGGTGGGCTAATGGCCATTGCTGCTAAAAACCTTCATTTTCCAGAAAGACATTCATTACAGAAATAATATTCTATCCATTTAATTCATTTTATAGTGCTTTCATTTCTTGAGAATGGTCAAACTGAGCATCCTCTCATAGGGTTTTGATAGCTACTATCAAGGAAGTCATGGCATTGCTCTATTTAGACTGCCAAGATTCTAAAGAAAATTCCTAGCACTGTCTTCAGCAGCTAGATAATGATCAGTTCTATCGGGATAATTACCACCATTTGTTTTAAATTAACCTTAAACAACCAGGCCACTGACCTTGGGTCATAAGTTAAGGAAAGAAGAAAACGCTCCCCGAATTGTCTCCTGTATGGAATGTCATGATCTGGCTGTTTTATCGTTTTTTGACCAGCCCAAAGTAGAAGAGCGTAAATACCGTGGGAGTCAGAGCTGAGGGGACTGGAGTGAGATCCTCAGATGGGGAAGCAGAGGTCTTTCACAAGCTGAGGTGGTCCATCCCAACTGCCAGGGGCCTTTAGGTTCTTCCATTTCTCCCTTCTGTCTCATCTTCCAGGGCCTCTCTCCTGGGTCCTTCCTTCTTTAAAGTCTTTCATTTTCTTTCACCAATCCTTGTCTTAGAATAGCCCATCAGATTTTCTCCCCTAGCGGTGCCTGGGTGGCTCAGTGGATTAAGCCTCTGCTTTAGGCTCAGGTCGTGATCTCAGGGTCCTGGGATGAGCCCTGCATCAGGCTCTCTGCTCAGTGGGGGGCCTGCTTCCCCCCCATCCCCCGCCTCACCTATCTCTCTGCCTATTTGTGATCTCTCTCTCTTTGTCTAATAAATAAATAAAATCTTAAAAAAAAAAAAATCTTCTCCCAAATCACCAAATCATTCCAGTCCCCGCCCCAGGCCCTATTCAGTCCATCATGGCATTTATTGTCTTCACTGAGATTTAAATTGAGTGACCATATAAACACCTTCTGGAAAACTACTCCTGAAGATGTTATATATTATATTACTTAGTGTTCCTCATGGAGAAGGACCACATAATAAATATCTCTTAGAATTCAGTGATGAGGTGATATGGTGGAGAACCAGATTGCTTCTCTTAAAAAAGAAAAGAAAAAAAAAAAGGATTTTATTTATTTATTTGAGAGAAAGCACAAGCGGGAAGGAGGGGCAGAGGGAAAGGGAGAAGTGGCTCCCTGCTCAGCAGGGAGCCCATTGTGGGGCTCACTCTGAGGACCCTGAGATTATGACCTGAGCCAAAGGCAGTCCCCTAACTGACTGAGCCACCCAGGTGCCCCTAGACTGCTTCTCTTGCAGCAAAAACAGGATATTTCCTTTTTGGCCTGGTAAAAAAAATTGATCTTCAATTACAGCATTATATAATTTTTCTCCTATTTTTATTGTAGAAGTCATATTAAATACATGTATGTCAGTTCTTCTAAAAGTAGTGGGAAATAGGATATCTTATTGATTTTCAAGCACTGCATATTTGTATTTTGAAAGCCCAAATTGCATTATAATTACTTCCATTCCATGATTTAAATCAGGATGGTCTAAAATTCACGTGAGGGGAAGGTTGATTTCATTAAATGGGTACTGCGAGGAGTCCCCCAAAATTTTTAAGTGACTTTTTCTTATTACAACAGCAAGGCCCATTTATTACAGAAAAATTTGCATCGCAGGTGGACAAAAAATTCTATCTCTGTGATCCCACTAATCATTAACATTGTAGCCTTCCACATAGGACTAAAACTAAAAACAACAGCTTCCTATGTCATTGACGGGGGGAACATAAGTAACACTTAAGCAGAACCCATAACTAACTGTAATTATAAGATACTCCCAGAATGCTTAGATGATTGGAGGCAGGCAGAGCAAGTCAAATCAATAAAATTTGTTTTTCCCAAAGATAGAAGTAAGTAGTGCAATGATTTAGAACTACTTTATGTCTTTTAATTTTTGAATTATTTAAAAAATCAAACCTAAATTTAAAAATATAGAATAACAAGTCCAACCCACCACTATCTTTATCTACCCTGTGCCTTTCCTTGGTTTCCTATGGTAATGACCTTTTTTTTAAACCACCATATCTAAGTATGATTGGCATGTAAAAAGCTGTACGTATTTAATGTACAACTTGATAAGTTTAGGGATGAGCATGCACCCATGGAATTATTGCCATCTTCAAGGCCATGGACATATCACCTCCCAAAGTTTCCTTTTTTTTTTTTTTAATCATTATCATTATTTTCAGTCTAATTCAGTATATTCAATAGTCAACTCAATATTTAATTCAATATAATTATTATCAATAATAATTATTATTATATTATTATTATTAAAGAACACCTAATGTAACATTTTGCCTCTAAGCAAACTTTAAGTGTACAACACAGTATTGTTAGCTATAGGTACTATGATGCTGTATAGTGGATCTCACGACTTATCTTTCCTAACTGACATTATACCCTACAACCATTAGTTTCTTGGGGTGGAAATAAGAATACATATTCCCTAGTTAGATAAAAGGTGGCCATATTATATACATTCTTCCACATCGTGCAGTTTTTCACTTAATAGCTTGCCCTGGGGATCTTTCTTATGAAAACATAGAAAGCCTTGTCATTTTTTTTTATAGCTGTGTAATATCCAGTTCCATGGATGTACAGGTTACTTTGTCACCTACAGACCACCTGTTACTATTGTGAGCAGTACTACCATGAATGTGCATGTTTATGTCATCCTATATATATGTAAATTAAAATATATAGGAAATTTTCCAGGGTTAAAGTTGCAGAAACACAAGGTAGATACATTTTTTTAAATTTTGGTAGATATTGTCACATTGCATTTTGTAAAGATTACATCTTCCATTTCTATCAGTACGTTCTGCCCCCACCCAGCATCATAATTACTTTTTATTTTAAAACTTCTGTGCGATTGTTAAAAAGCAAATTCCATTCCAGTGATGCTGGCTCTTTAGAGCTTGAATTCTCTAAGCTCAAACCAGTTGCTTAACATATTTGAAGTTGGTTTAGTCAACCCTTCATTATTTCTTCACAAAGATAGAAGCCAAGGGCATGGATATCCACCATGGCAGATGATTCCATAGTAATTCAATTCAGTTTTCAACTATATTATGACTTTTTCCCCATTGAATTTTCTTTCCTGATGATGTCTGCATTCAGAAACACTAACTCAGAATTTTTAGCACAGAAGAGCTGCCAGAAGGAGGCTAAGAATTGGAAAGAAGTTTGCAGGATTCAAAACATTTCCACTTCATCTCTGGGATCATAGATGATATTTATTTCATTCTTTATGATGTCTATTCTACATATTTTATATATATATATATATATATATATTCTATATATTTTTATATATATTTTAACTGTTACAATGTGTTCAGTTTACTTGTATAAAAAATAGATTCATAGTTGCAGTTAAAATGAAAGCCCCAACACAAGTATAATATTTAATTGCTTTTCAGCCCAAGAAGTAGAAATCCCTAAGGGAAACAATGCAATTTGAAATAGCACTAATTAATCAGTTAATATAAATTATAATGAAATCAGTTCTGATCTATTTAAAACCACTCCTCACCATGTGTCACTTAGAGAGTGGAAAATCCATGTGTAGATAATGCAGAGTGTATGGCCTCAGTATCATCCTCTGGCTAGGAGGGAGGCAGAATGCAGAGATGTCTCTGATCCAGACTTTCTCTCCCCTTGCAGCATCTTCCTCAAAGAGCTGGAGAAGTACGAGCAGCTGCCTGAGGATGTGGGACACTGCTTTGTTACCTGGGTAACTGACTTGAAATCCTTCTTCTCCACTGTACCATACTTCCCAGGAGTGCAGATGGTGTCGGATGGCATCATTGCTCGGCCTGAGCTGAGGATTGGTGTCACTGATGTTCTAACACAGGACCAGGGACTCTGGAGAAAGGGCAGAAGTAGATCTGAGAGAAGCAGATCTGAGAGAAGCAGTCCATCCCATTTCCCTCCTTGGGAAAAGTCCTTAGACATTGTGTCCAAGCTCTACATAAAGTTCTTTGAGAACTTTCTAAAATTTGAGATATCGGGAGAGTGGAAAAACATCACCACTTGATAGACACACTACTCCGGTTCTATGCACTGGTTTTGTTCTGTTTGTTTTTGCAGGGTAAGGATTGGGAAATTAGACCTTTAGGAATCCACCAAACAATTGGTTACATAGTCTTCTTTAATAGGGAAGAAAAGATTCCGTGGGTATTCATCCCAGTTCTGACCTACAAAATTTGTATCTGATCCTTTTCTTTCCTGGTGCTATTATTGTGGACCAAGTAAATGGCCTGAATGTACCAGGTTCTGATTATATAAATGGAAATCTTAGTCTTCATTAGCATCTCCACACCGTGTTATTCTGAGCTCAGATTCATGGTAGGAGTGCAGGCATCTCCAAGGAGGTCTGCCTGTGATACTAAATGCAGCTCGATGTAGAACTCCTTCCCAGGGTCAGGAGTTCAAGCTAATAATTATCTCATCATAATTTCCGCTCAAAATGGGCTACTTTTCAAAATGTCTTCATGATTCAGAGTTGATGCTCTCAACAGCCTATGCACTAGACTGGGCTATGGTTATGCTGTATATTCTATAGGGGAAAACAATTCAGCTGACCCAGAAGGTTGACTAGTCCACTGGCATGTAGTAAATATCACAGCCAGTCCCCCAACTTGGGACCTGGGTTGTTTGTTTGTTTGTGTGTTTGTTTTTTTAACATAAAACATTAACATTTTCTTCCTGGCATATTCTTATTTCTTAAGGAGCCGTAGACTACCATCTTATTTATGTTAATGCACTTTTCTACCTCTAAATACGTGGGCCCATGCACAGTTCATATTAATGATGATAAACAAATAATTTATGATCCCTTGCAGAGCCAGTGTAGAGAAAAAACAAGTGAAGGGTTTTGGGGTGTCTGTTTGTTTGTTTACAAATTGTTTCATACAGATTTTGGATCTGCCTAACAATCAACCGTAAGTATGATTTATCAGCATGTCTTAGGGATGATAAACGCCTCCCACATAGTATATAAACCCTAAAATTGGTTTCAGAAAACCTTTGATGATTGCATAAAGTATGCGCATTTTGCCAACAATTATCCCAAGGTGATTTTCATAAGTCTCATAATCTTCACGTAAGAGGGTAGAAGAAGTTGTTTCAGTGTATTGAAAACCAATGGTTATGACCAAGAAGCCTGAAATCAGCTGGCCTGGGCTCTGCCACTTTCTAGCTGTGGAAATCTGAAGTTACTTAACCACAGTTTTCACATCTGTAAAATGGGGATGATAATAATAGAGTTCACCGCACAGGGTTCTCAGGAGGACCAGATAAGTTAATATATATGAAAAGCACTTGGCAAAGTGCTGGCATGAATGAGACCTGCGATAATTAACACATAGCTGGGCTGCTTTCTCAGAGAAGGCCATCCCAAGTGTTCTGTGGGCACCAACACTGATAGCATTTCACAAATGGGAAAGGTACTTGGTGGCTAAAATACACAAACCTTTCCTGGGAGTAAGGACATGTAGCACTAACCCAGAGGGTCCTGAGACCCAAAAAATGAATTTTTACCAAGCTCAAGGTTCTTGGCTTGCAGTAACAATCTGGTTAGAACTCATTGTTCAGGCCCTTCCCCAAAGGGTCACATTGCTTTCCTTTCCCTGGATCATTGGTTTTGGCATGGCCTACCAACTACCCCCAACGGAGAACTTTGGAATACAAGCACATCTACTGCTGAGGGCACCCTTTGTTTGCATTCTTTGGTTTTTGTTTTTAGAGCAAATGTTGTCAGTTTTTCCAGAGGGGAAGCACAATTGTAGGTAATCCAAAAAAGGGATAATGTCTACAAAAATTCCATCCAATTTCAAAATAAGTTACGTGAATTGGTTTTTCTGATTCTTTCTAGCGCAGACTAGGATTAAAACAAGCTCACTTTCAGCAAGCTTTCTCCACCTGCAGGTAGGAGAAAAGCACCCCAAAGCTTCTGAGGGGGAACATGGGCCTGATAAACCCAGAACATTTGCCACAGGTAATCCTGTGCAACACAACATCTGAGGGCTTTCACTGCATAACCCCTGCTGGGCCCTTTACACCCAGTCAGCAGAAGGGAGCAAGGGATGTATGCTTATCTATGATTGCCTTTGTTCTTTTTAGGCAGACAAATTTCAGATGTACGTCACCTACTGTAAAAACAAGCCTGATTCCAACCAGCTGATCCTGGAGCACGCAGGCACCTTCTTTGACGTAAGCCATAGTTTTCCATTCTTGAGCCATGGATGAACAGGTGGAAATGCTTCTCTACTTTGGGAAAATGGGTCTTTATCCTTTATTGCTCATTGTTTCTTGGCTACCCAACCTTCTATCTCATGGATAAAGCATGGAGACAAACAAAAGCAGTGTTTGTCTTGTGTTTCACCCTATCCCATCTCAAGAGCTGGGGTTTTAGACAAGGCACATTTGCCCTCCATGCCTCGACACCAAACTGAGCTAGCCATAAATCCCATGTGTGGAGGAGACCAACGATGGCACAGGAGTTAAGATGTTTTGCTTCGGCTTCATGCGAGGCTCCCTCAAATGCAGGGGTTCCCAAAGTGTGGTCCCCAGACCAGCCACATCAACGTCGCCTGAGAACTGGTTAGAAATGCCTGTTTTGCATGAAGCACTGGGTGTGGTGCAGGAACAATGAATACTGTTACGCTGAAAATAAATTAAAAAAATTTTTTTTAAATAAAGTTAAGGCTAAAGTAAAGTAAAATAGAGAAAAAGAAACACTTTGCTTGACTTGCCCCAATTTTTCAAAAAGGTTAGGAAGTGATGAATGATAACACAACAATCTTGGTCTCCCCCAGAAATATTTCTGAGCTCCTAGTTATAGATATTCTTTTATATGGTTGTTTAAACCAACCTGAAAGTAGAATGCTTTATATACATTTAATTCTAATGAAACTAAAATCTTCAATATTTATTTGCTATCCAAATTTTCTTTCACATATGAATAAAACTTTAAAAATCTGAGTATTATCTAAATTGTTGTGTATTTTATACAGGATAAGGGTAATTTATCTACAGAAACTTATGTAATGTCAAAGAACCTTTTTTCTTCTATAACTTTATGCTTCGAGGCTCTTCATATCTTTTGTGAGAAAATGACTTAAATATAAGATTATTAAACTGAAAAAAAAAAAAAAGAAATGCCTGTTTTGGACCCTCCCCACACCCAGGTCTGTTGAATAGAAACTCTACCCCTAAACCCCAGCAATCTGAGTGTTAAGAAGCCGTCCAGGGACCGGATCCCACTCAAGTGGGAGAGGTGCTACTCCAGTGTGATTGTCTCAACCTTGACTACACATTCGGATTACCTGGGGAACCTTGAAAAATGCTGACTCCTGGGTCCTACCCCTGTGATTCTGATATGATTGGCTTGGATTTGGCCTGGACTTTGAGAGTTTTAAAAGCTTCCAGGTGAGAGTAAGCAAATCCAGGGCTGAGCACTTGTGCTGTAATGGAAGCCAAGTGAAGTGAGCGCCGATGGGCCTTGTCTGATCCCTCGCTTCAGAATGAGGGTCCAGGGCTGTTTGTGAATGATGCTCTAAGTCTCCGTAGTGCTGGTCCCCGGAGGGTGACCTGTCAGCTCCAAGGTAAACAGAATCAAACGGGCCAATGCAGGATACAAGGGAAGAATAAGGAGAAGAAATGAGGGGAGACAAGAAAGTTCAAGGAGAGACTGTAACAGTGACATCCATTACGCTAGTCCTATCAGAAACGACAATGTGAAATTCAGAACTTTTTCATGTTTTTCGGTCTTTCTGCCTCCCTGCTTTCATTTTTCCCATAAATATTGGAGTATTTCCTGTAGGGAAGATGGTGTGCTGGGCACCTTGGGAAATACAGACATTTAAATGTCATTCCCATAGTCAAGTCTACAAAATAAACCTCTGGGCATCTTTCTAGCCTCATGCTGCCATAACAGAAATGATTCCACGAGTGTCTTATTGCTCCATGAAGGAATGATCCTTGAATGGGAGAAAGCCAGACAAGGAAAAAGCATACATGACTTTTTAAAATGAAGTGTTAATAGAGAAATGGTCCTTAGCATCCCAATTTGAAATTTTGTTGAGGTTAGATTTGATAAAAAAAAAATAAAGTGGAAAATTCAAGAAAAGTACTTCTTTAGCTTGGTATCAGAATTTATTGGATATCATATTGGATGCTATATTACCACTGTTATCTTTGTCAACAATGTGTTTTTCTTAAGATGTTATTCACCAACAGTATCCAGAAGGGTCTCTGTGAAGTTTTAAATGTTCTGTGTCCTGTCTTCCACTTAGCATTTTTCTGAACATACACGCCCTGTGCTTTGAACATGCCTCAGACTCTTCTGCTTCCTCACCTTTGTTCGCAGTGCTCTCTGTATCTTACCTCTGTGTGTCTGTGTCTGTGTGTGTGTGCGCACACACAGACACACACACACACAGTCACTCTTCAGAATTCTTTCTATCCTTTAAAGGTCAAATGTTTCCTGCATGAATCCTTCCCTTTCTCTATGCCTTTGTTATACTTTGTATCTGTCTTATAGCATTGGTAACAATTTGCCTTTTGGCAGGTTCACAGTGTACCCTTCCATTATACACACCTCCTCCCACCTGTGGGCCCCTTGAGGTTGGCTGATGATTTGACTGGCTCCTTTTGTACACATCACAGTATATGGTGCTAATCTGTATTTTCCTTTAGTCCTATATTCATCATATCCCTTTTTCTAGCCAGTTTCTAGATTTTGACTAGTAAGTTAGATATACCCCCAAATTTTGCACCCTATCCCTCCCTCCCTTCCCCGTTTCTGATGTAGTGACCGATGAGACACTGGAAACCAGAAAAGACAGTCCATGAGGTAGGAGTCCCTAGAGCTCAGCATAGAGAGGGGGGAAGGGAGAGCAGTAAACTCTCCTGATTGTTCCCAGAGCTTTCCAGAATGCATAATATGTGTAACTTTTTCCCTTTCTGTCGGAAATGGTTCCCTAAATTCTACACATAAAAAATATATGCTCTAGGATCTTATTCTATAAAAGAGACAAGCCCTTCGTTACACTGTCTTTTAGTATCCATTATTGTAAACAGTCCGCAGAAAACTGAAGCTCCAGAAAGGGACACACATTCCCATGATCCAGAATTTTCCACCTCAGATGTGAGAGCTGGGAGGCCATGATGCTTGATGCTATGGTGACTAGTGAGCATGATTGGGCTGCCCCAGCCATCAGAGTCAAGGCCTTCCTCACTGCCCCACATGCACCCTTACCAGGGCTGGCAGAGAGGGAGGGCCAGCGCAGTGTGTTACTGCCTGTGCTGTCTTGTCAGATTCCCCAGGTGAACTCACAGTGTTCCTTGGCCCAGAGAGTCGTGCTGCCCGCTGGATCGCCCATCATCCATGGACAAGTCCTGCTCTAACTGCATACCTCTGGGAAAGAGGCGATGAGTTAGAAAGTTGCTACTTTCTGGGATAGTTGGCAGGAATGTGATCATCGTTGTAATTCCCTCCCCACCCTCCTCCATGGCCACATAGCAAGTCCTATCTTGGGGGTCTTTAAGTGCTTCCTGTATTCCTCCCAGTGCTTTGTTCTCACTGATCCTAGCTTAGGGCAAGCCCATGTTACACACCTAGAGGGATAGATAGAGCTGTAGCTATCAATTATACGTGTATTTAAAGTGAACAAGTTCACAGTTTTCGTATATTCACAGATAGGACCAACCATCTCCACAGACAATTGTAGGACATTTCCATCGCCTCAGAAAGCAACCCCACACCCTTTAGCTGTCATCCCCACCTCATCCTCCCCCATTCCTGAGCCCAAAGAAACCAATGATCTATTTTCTTTTTTAATTATTATTTTTTTATTAACATATAGTGTATTATTTGCCCCAGGGGTACAGGTCTGTGAATCATCAGGCTTACACATTTCCAAGCACTCACCATAGCACATACCTTCCCCAAGGTCCATAGCCCAGCCACCCTATTCCTCCCCACCACATCCCCCAGCAACCCTCAGTTTGTTTTGTGAGATTAAGAGTCTCTTATGGTTTGTCTCCCTCCCCGGTCCCATCTTGTTTCATTTATTCCTTCCCTACCCTCCACAATGCCCTGCCCTGCCCCTCAAATTCCTCATATCAGAGAGATCATATGATAATTGTCTTTCTCTGATTGATTTATTTCGCTTAGCATGATACCATCTAGTTCCATCCATGTCCTTGCAAATGGCGAGATTTGGGGGTTTTGATGGCTGCATAGTATTCCACTGTATATATGGATCACATCTTCTTTATCCATTCATCTGTTGATGGACATCTAGGTTCTTTCCATAGTTGGGCTATTGTGGACATTGCTGCTATAAACATTCGGGTGCACATGCCCCTTCAGGTCACTACATTTGTTTCTTTAGTGTAAATACCCAGTAGTGCAGTTGCTACGCCATAGGTTAGCTCTATTTTCAACTTTTTGAGGAACCTCCGTACAGTTTTCCAGAGTGGCTGCACCAGCTTGCATTCCCACCAACAGTGTAGGAGGGTTCCCCTTTCTCCACATCCTCACCAACTTCTGTCGTTTCCTGACTTATTTGTTTTAGCCATTCTGACTGGTGTGAGGTGGTATCTCATTGTGGTTCTGATTCATATTTCTATCTACCTGTTCCAGACATTGCATAGAAATGGAATCATGTAATATGTGTTCTTTTGTGACTTTTTTCACTCAGCATAATGCTTTCAGGGCTCATGTGTGTTACAGTGTGTATCAGCACTGTATTCCTTTTTATGGCCCAGTAATACCCCATTGTGTAGGTGTGTGTCCCATCATATATTTCCATTCATCAATTGATGGACATTTGGGTTGTATTCCCTTTTTCATTATTATCGGTAACACTGCTATACACAGCATACGTAAGTTTTTGTAAGGTCATATGTTTTCATTTCTTGGGTGTATCACTAGGAGCAGAATTGCTAGATCACGTGGCAACTCCATGTTTGCATCCTAGGGATTGTTCAGTAACCTTCTAACTAGTCCCTCTGCCTCTATACCCCCACCTCCACCCTTGCTATGAGGCTTATATGACCCTCTCTGAAAGAGTGCTTTCACCGTGTTTTTCTTCTATTTAAGATCTACAATACTTTACCATTGAGAAGCTTACCACCAAAATCCTGATTTTTTTTCATCTAGCTCAGCGCCATCAATGACCTAAATATACTTTGCTTATCTAACTGTATTTTTCATTTTTTTTCTGGTCTCTATGTACATGCTCTGTACCATTCTGCATGGTCCCCATTATCACTAAATCCACAGTGATTCTTTCCTGTGGACTTTTTAAATATGTTTTCTGTTTGTAGAATGCCATTTATCCAGCTTTGCACTTTCCCCTCCCTCCCACCCCCCAACTATCTTCTGAACCTCAGCTGAAGACTTTATCTCTCCTGAACCATCCGCCACTCTTGGACTAGCCATTCCTCTCTGTGCATCTCCTTTGTTGCTATTTTATGTGCGTGGGTGTTCTCAGCCACCTGGGGTGTAAGGCCGTTGAGGCAGGGAACCACGTGGGCCCTTTGCTGCCCTTCACAGTGCCTACACCTTGGGGAGTGGAAGGTCATTTTGGAGGCAAAATGGAGAATGGACTAAAAAGAGGCTAGAGGCTCAAACTGCAGCTGGAGGTCATGGCCATAGTCTGGGCACAAATGGTGTGGAGAGGAAAGACTTGTCACCAGGGATAACACAAGTTAAAACAACTAACAGGGACTCCACCGTCTCTGGCCCAGTTGGTGGGGGCAGTGAGAGGGGACTGAGGAATGAGGGAGGTGTCATGGGTCACAATAAGGAAGTTGTAGGGAATGCAGAGGGCACTCCATGCTGGGGTGGTTTAAGGTGGAGAGGAAGAGGGTGGAAAGGAGATCTGACCTCTGAGCCCCGCTCTCTGCCTCCCTGTGTTCTCATCGTCCTGCTGTCCCCCTGTGAGTGCCTCCACTGTGGGTTTATTCCCCTTAATTCCACCCCACTCTGTCTATTATTGCTCTCCTGACTTCCTTTAGCCACTGTTATCCTTCCCTGTGTCTTCTTCATCTCCATTTCTCTCACACAAATCTGCTTTCTCTCCCCTTTTGCCATTTCTCCTTTCCGCTATTTATGCATTCATCTGGGTCTCTCTTGTTTCTCTCCCCATCAAAGAACAGCTCCTCATAATTGTCTACCCTTTTTTTCTTCTTTCTTCTCACCTTGCATACTTCCTCCCCAAACACACACACACACACACACACACACACACACACACACACACACACA